TATTTGAATCATCTTGAAGAAAATAAAGTCTCATTGAGGGCGCTAGACCATCACGAGACTTAAACCATAAAGCACTGGAGTCAAAGACCAAAGCAGCTAAGCACTATCACCACCAGCAGCGCTCAACTCCTCAAAGGAGTTGCCAATAGCCATAAATGCACCTGCTTCCTAAGCGTAGTCAGTCTGCCCAGCATATCATGGGGAGCAGGGGAAAGGGAAAGAAACGCACGGTGAGCATCTACTACTGGCCAGGCTGTGGAGTGCTTTTCCTTCACCAGCCCCTCTAGTCCCCAGAATAACCTTGAGATGAAACACAGTTTTCTTTCACAGAGAACGTGGAGGCTTAAGTGTTTCAGTAACGAATCAAACCACAGGAATGTCTTATAAGCTAGAAACAGACACAACACAATGTCATCCAGTCTGGCCCTGGAGGGATAACACACACATCCATCCTGCAAATCCTACCTTCAGGCCTGACTCATGCAGCTAAGTGACAACCAACGGACATACCAACTATAGGGTACCGAACACGTCCCTATAACCAGACCTTAACTTTTCAAGCCTTAACTTCATCATTTATAAGCCATTTGGAAGAGATCATTTAAACTCTTTCCTGATGCTACCTAAAAGCTCTAACAGGAATACATGTGAGTCATTGTTGTAGATAAGAGTTTCGGGAAGATCCACAGTCTATAGAGATTTTCAGTCATCTATCATTTATCACCTAAGGCTGTCGTTAAATGCTGTGTGCAAAACAGAGACATGTATACCCTGTCTGACTGATAATAGTTTACAGTGTAAGACAATCAACATGGATGTGGATTCAGCCAACCTTACCCACCACTCAGCAGTTCCCAAACTTTCCTCTTGGGAAACCAATCTTCAGCCACACCCAGTGAACCGCTTCCTGCCTGCAGCACACACTCCTTCCTAAACCTAACCCTCTGTTTTAAAACCAAAAGGCAAATTAAGAAGTAAATAAAAACCTGAGTTGATCCTGAACTCCCAAAAATTTCCCTTTAAGCCCCAAGAAAGTTTTAATATTCATGGTTGACATCATCAGAGGGAAAGGTCTATAGTTTCTTTTATTGCAGACAACTCTTCTTTACATGGAATATATAACATGTCTAAAAATTCCAACCCGTTTCCATACAATCTTATTGATATTGGGTCCTTTATCAACCACTACAAATGAGAGGTATAAATTAGTGCACTGGTCCTTCTTCTGACAGATTCCCTACTGGTGAAATAAATAGCATTTCATCACAATAAAAATGGGGCTAAAAGGATTTAAGAGCTAAGTTGCTAAAATATTTAAGAAGGAATTCAGGGGCACCCAGCTGGCTCAGTGGGTTAAGCATCCGACCCCTGACCTGAGCTCAGGTCATGATCTCACGGCTTTTGAGTTCAAACCCCGCATCGGGCTCTGCACTGACAGTGCAAAGCCTACTTGGGATTCTCTCTCTCTCCCTCTTTGACCCTCTCCACTCACATGGTCTCTCACTCTCTCAAAATAAATAAACTTTAAAAAAAAAAAAAGGGAATTCAAATGATGTCCAACTCTAGGAATAGGGTCCAATGACAAGGGAGAGGAAGAAAATCCAGTGTAGTTCTTGGATAATTCAACAATAGAACTCATATTTGCCCCCATGGGACTCTTGAAATTGGTAAGCCTACTACCTTGAAGGCAATGGTACACAATTAAACAGGCTGGTTATTGCTTTTTCTTTTGGAAGACCATGCTACAGATATTTCTATTGTATGTGTTTCAAAGTCGCTGGAAAATCAACGCAAAACCAACAACACGATGATCACAGAAGACTGATTAATTCAGAGATGTAATTGTTATTTGAAGGTGAATTTGCTGCCAGGTACAATCACAAAATAGTATATTCCTTACGCAGAATGTTCTTTGAACATCTTTCTTGCAAGGAATTCCCTGAAGATTTACACGTAAAAATGTTAACTAGTACAAAATTAACGCATCCCCTGCAGAGTCAACCTTGATTCTTTTCTGAGAAACATGTTTATATCACCAAATTTCCCACTGATGTAGAATTATTCATGCTTCATAATTTTGTATTTTTTCATAAACATCAGGGCTCGGCCGTACTTGGTGAATTTCCTCTTTTTGGAAGAAGTAGAAGCGTCCATTCAGTGGTGGTGTTTCTAGTGTGTAGTAAGGCTTGACTGCCTGCTAGCTTCTCATGCTGATGCTACATGTGGGTTCTCCGGTGTTTAGTAAGGTGAGAATTCTGACTGAATTTCTTTCCACATACATAACACATAAAGGGTTTCTCTCCAGTGTGAGTTCTTTGGTGTGTACGGAGATTTGAATTTTGACTGAAGCTTTTCCCACACCAGGAACATTTGTATGGTTTTATTCCTTGGTGTATTGTTACGTGCTTATTAAGATCTGATTTCCCTCTAAAGCTCTTACCACAATGCTGACATTTATACGGCTTCACTTCAGTGTGAATTTTTTTGTGTTTAGTAAGATCAGAGGTAAGTCTGAAGTTTTTCCTACACTCCTGGCATGTAAAAGGCTTCTCTACTGCACGGGCTTTCTTGTGAAGATCCATAAGTCTCTGCAGCTCATCTTCCCAGATTGAAAGTTCCTTTGTTTGGTTCATTGGAAACTCTTGGTGCCACTTCGCCATCCTGTGTGTATCACCATGGTTTTCTTTGCCTGTTGTTTTCTGGGGAACTTTTGCTCGGGCCTTTTTTGATACTATGTCTCCTGGTGCTTGTATTTCTAAATCAGAAACACATATAGGCTGATGGTTTTCAGTGTCACTTTTGTGCTTTATTCCTGTCAGAATAAACGTAACAGTCAGCCCACTGCACAGCAGAGCAAAACGACTACAGGAATGGAGAG